CTGGTAGAAAGTGGCCAGTGATGTACCGGAGAACCACCAAACTGTCTGCATGGCCAGACTGCCCTTCACACCTGCATATGGGTCTAGCTCAGGAGACCCAGAGGCTATGCTGGGTGATCCTGATCTCAGCCTAGCACTTGGCATGTTCCTCGGTTTTGGTGCCCTCTGTGCCTTATGACACCACAGAAAGGTATGCCAGGGGCAACTCTGGCTCCAGTGCTACCCATCAGCATTATAGACCTGGGCTGGGGATATAGCTCAGTGGTGCTGTGGCCTGCCTCACAAGCACAAGGTCCTGAGTTTGATCCTAGGTACCAAAAACAAAAAACAAAATAGCATTATAGCCCTGACCCTGCTCTCTCCTTTGGGGGACCCTTCCTCACAATCTCCACAGAGCACTGCCTTCAGAGCAGGACACAGAAGTGCTTCCCCAGCACTCAGAGAGGCCCTCTGTCCTGGTCCAGGTCTGCCTCACTCCTGCAGCAGCTCTCTGAGGCTGACTACTCTGCTGACTTCACCCTCAACCTGTACTATTCCTCTGGCCAAAAGTCAGTGGTCCTCCCTCCCACAGCTCTCTTGGGGATACACCTAGGAACTACCACCGGCAGATCCTCCAATCTCAAGCGAGAGTTTCATGAAGTTTCTCTCCCACTGGCCCAAATCAGGGTCATATAGCAACAAGACTGGGACACCAGTGGCTGTGAAGCCAGCTGGCATCCTACTCAGACCAGTGATCCAAAAATAAGAGTAAAATCACAACTCAAGTGTAAAAAGCCACGTGTGGAAGACAAGAAAATATGGTAGAGTTAGCACTGATGTAGGTCTTTGTTCCAGCTCTGCCACTCAAAGATTCATGAGACCTGTGAGAGTCCAGGGAGCTCTCAGCTTTGTTACCTGGACTCAAGAGTGCTTTCAAATCTGCCAAGCTCCTCATCTGCCCAGGAGAGAATCTCTGAGCAGCCAGGATCCACTTGGGAGTCCTAGGGCTAAGCTACATAAAGTGGGACGTGGCTGGTAACAGCTGTGGTCAATCAGGTAGTTGGCCATAAGCCCCTACATTACCACCTCCCAGAACAGAATGTAAAAGCTCAAGTCGCCAAAGAGCCCACCTGCACATCTTCTTGGAAGGATGAGGCAGAGAGCCTCAGAGTACCAAACTGCAGACTCCCTGGTCACAGCCCTTGAAACTGCACAACAGCAGCCCCTGTGATGTGACCCTTTGCAGGATAGTGATACATAGAACTTCATTCTCAGCCTAAGCCAACCCTGCTTGACAGCATCTCACAAACTCTCATGAGTCACAAACTGACTGTTTAAAGGCCAGCCTTGGGCCGGGGATTTAGCTCAGTGGCTCCGCCGCCTGCCTTGCAAGCGCCAAGGACCCGAGTTTGATCCCTGGTACCAAAATAAAAATAAAAAAATTAAAAATAAAGGCCAGCCTCAAGGAGTTTTGCCCCTTGGGATGGAGCAGAGCAGATCCCACTCCTGGTCACGCATCTCCATAAACACTACAAATTTAGTCCAGCCAGTGGGCGCTGTTTTCACTAACTGCCCAAATGAAAGTTGCTCAATTGCATCTTCCCTTGGGAAGCCAACATTAGCTAGCTTTGAACTATCTCAAACCCAAAGGGAGAACCAGGAAGATGAACTGGGCTGCTCAGGGTAAATATGCTCTTTTGGGCACTCCTGCCTCATACATGCTCACACACTCATACCCCTATGCCAGTTGGGCTCTTCAGTCCTGATGCTATTTCCACTTAAGTGAGCACCCCAAAAGAAAGCCATTTCAAGTCAGCCATCCCACACTGCAGAGGGGCAAAGAAATTGGACCCAGGTCTGCCCCATATGAGGGACTTTCAACCAGCCTCAGCTGTAGAAGCCAGCACCAAGCTGCCACCACCAGCTAGGAGTGCATGGTGGTCTCACTCAAAGTGAAGGAGCATAAACAGAATTAGCATTCTCTAGGAGACAAGGATTAAAACCAGAGCAGGGATAGAGCAGAGTCAGGGAAACCTTGGGCAGCCCCTGCCTTCCTGAATCAACTCAAGAACCCTGAGGAAGTCAGGCGCAGGGGTTCCCACCCCCTGGCACTTGTAGTACACCCCGTAATAGGGCTTGGCACTATGGCTATTCCAGGAGGAAGAAGAGCCCCTAAAACCTGTGGCAAGGCAATCCTAAATTTTTACATTAGATAGGCAGTTTGAGGGGTTACAAGTAGAAAGAAATTGGGGCTTCATACCTTGACTCCTATTTTCACTGGAGCTGGACCATGGGAGACAGAGGCAGGGCCTACCCACTTCATTCAGTGCTCCAGGTACAGTACCTCCTAAGACTCAGCCTGCCTCTCCTGACTCCTAACCCATCTCAGCCTGCTTTCAGCTCTATCAGCCTCCCCATGGAGTCTCCCAATTCCCAGGCCATAAGCCCAAGGAGGTGGGACCATGACATCCATTTTATCTCCCTCCTGCTCAACCTAGTGAGCTAGGGAGCAGACGATGATGGGACACATGACCACATTAACAGAGTTCAACTTCTTTCTTTCTTTTCCCTGCCTCTGGCACTGTGAGCTTGGTGCCCTGAGGAAGAAATAACCCAGCATTTCCAAGGAGCCATTTCCTAGACTCCATGTCCCTAAACAGTCACCCTGTCCCTCAGTCCGGTGTCCAGGTTTAACAGAAACAGCTGCACAAGCAGGCTCACAGTCCCCCTTCCACTTTAAAGGAGAACAATGTCAATGGGTTTGCCTTTGTGTGCTGCGTGCTATGCCCAAACACTGGGAAGAACATTTTAGATACCACACTGATGTGTTCTCAGGTGAGGGGACATGGCTGTTTAAAGGACCCTCACAAAATGAGGAAAAGCTCTAGTAATTACTTGATAAGTACCCATGTACACAGTGTTTCTGAGAAGTACCTTTGTTGTACTAATGGGGAGCAGGTAAAGTTTGCACGGCAAGCAACATTTGCATGGCTTTCACATGCCCTCCTATTATAAGGTCCAAAACTCATAATACATGAATCTAAATAATCAACTTGCCCAAGGGTTATTAACAGAGATGGCTCTCCAGGACTGACCAGATGCATATCACACCTGGATGTCCCTGCCCAGGGAGAAGAGGCCATCGGTCCTGAACACTGGGCTTGTCTCTGACAAGGAAGACAAAGGCAGCAAGATGCCTCCAGGTCCCACAGAAGCCAAAGAAAAGGCCTACATCCCTACCCCCAAGCCATGGCCAAATGGCCCCCATGTACCTAACTCAAAAGGCAGTGGAATCCCAAATAGCAGCTCAGAGAGCTCTGGACTAGACATTCCACACCTGGCTGCTGACCCAGGACACAGGAGCACCCACTCCCAGGGGCTTCCTTGGCTCTTGAGGGCCTACCCTACTCTCCATTCTGTCTGGCTCTGGCTCACAGGTGGAGAAAGAGACAAACTTAAAATCTCTGGGCTCCCTGTCCCACTTGCACATGGTAACTATTCTCAACAGGTGATAAATGATCTGCTTGGCAGGAGATAGCCAGGCCACAGCTTCCTGGTAGGGGTATGTGAGAGGCCTGAAACCGGGCCAGCTGCTGGTGAAACAGCAGCCCACCTTCCAGAGCTGGCCCACACACTGGCCACAACTTATCCAGGGAGCCCAGAGTACCAGGTCCTTTGAAGCCTGCTCAGATAGAAGGCCTCTGCTCCTACTGTTCAATTCCAGTAATTCTCAAACAACAAGTATGCAGATTTCTTTCTTTTGCCTCAGCCTAGCCCAGAATTCCCTCTGCAAAGAACATGTCACTGTCAATGTCTCTAAAGTCATGGATATCAGCCCAGCCCAGAATCCCCAGGAATTCTGATGGTGACTCAGGGCATGGATTCTAGGGCTCTACTCAACCACATCAAAGGATCCCTGAGGCCATTAGGGAACAGATTCCATTCAGCCCCTTGAGGGGAAGTTCACCAACCATGCCCAGATGGTGCCCATCCCACACCCCAAACAATTTGATCCCCCTCAAATAAAAGACCCAATCAAAAAATGGTCAAGTAAAATGAATAGACACTTACATGTACAAATGGAGAAAAAGTACATGAAAAAAAATGTACAGCATATTTGACCATTACAGAAATGCTGATCAAAACAACACTTGACAGCCCATTTTACTCCAGAAGAATGATCATCACCATAAACTCAAAAATCAAATGCTGGTGAGATCGTGCGGATAAAGAAACTCTTCTACATGGTTAGTGGGAATATAAACTAGTACAACCAACATGGAAATCAGTACAGAGATTCCTCAAAAAACTGAAAATAGAAATTCCATTTGACTCAGATATAACTCTTCTAGGTATCTTCCCAAAAGAGTTAAAGATACCATATTATAGTGATACACGCAAATCCATGTTTGTTTGGTTTTTTTGGGTACCGGGGATCGAACTCGGGTCCTTGCGCTTGCGAGGCAGGCAGCGGTACCACTGAGCTAAATCACCGGCCCCTGCAAATCCATGTTTATAGCAGCACAACTCACAATTGCTAAATCTTGGAAACAATCGATATGTCCATCAACAGATGAATGAATAAAGAAAATATGGTATATACACACAATAGAATACTACTCAGCCACAAAGAAGGATAAATTTAAGTCATCTGTAGGAAAATGGATGCGCCATGAGATCATAATGCTAAGCAAAATAAATCAGACACAGAAGGTTAAATATCACATTGTTTCCTTATATGAGAAACTCAAAATACAAATAATTTAAAGAGCAAAATAAGATAGACCATTGGAAACCAGGAAGTAGACTTTTTGCAGATGGGAAGAAGATTTGGGGATGGAGGGACTGGGGAGGAGGGAAGTGGGAAGGCGATGTAAAAAGGACTAAGACAATATGTGTATATACCAACTCCCCACTATGAATGCATTCATTATGTATCAAAAGCATGTACTAAAAAAAAAGGACAGATTTCGCCTCAGCCCCACTCCACACTCCTCAACACCAGGCTGATTCCCCCTCACCTGATGCCCATGGAGCGTGTAGAGCAGCCGGCCCTCCATCAGGTCCAGGATCTTCAGGGTTGAGTCACTGGAGGCTGTAACCAGGTAGTTTCCCGATGGGTGGAAAGAGAGAGCATTTACTGCTGCACTGTGTACTGGAGTAAAGACATCAGTCAGGGGCTAGCCAGGAGGGCTAGAGAACACAGTTAAAACCTGAGACAGGCAAGTGGGGCTCTGCACAGGCCAACAAGGTTGGGCCAGGAGAGCCATTTCCCAGAAGAGCTGTGGGTCCCCCCCCACCACCACTATGGATTTCTCAGGAAAGTGTCATAACCAAGGGATGAGAAAAGACTCAGCCAGAGCCAAGAGTGGGCAATGCAAGACACAAGGAGGAAGAAATACATGTGGCAAGGCAGAGGCACCAAGTGAGCTCTTCATCGTCTCACACAACAGCCAGCAGTCAAGCTGCAGCAGAAGAGAACACTCAAACATAGGGTTTAATCTGCTTTACATTGTTACTTTTGGGAAACCAAATGGAAAACCGGCTCTTAAAATCCCAATATGATGCTACTGTCCTACTGGAGGGGTTGGAGGATTCATAAGCAGGAGACTAAGACACTCTCAGGAGTCAAGTCAGGCTTGGGCTCCCATCCCAGCCTTCCCACTGGCCCCCCTGGTGACCCTAAACAAGCACCCTGACCACAATGACCCTGTTTCTCCATCTGTACCACAGTGCCCATCTGCCAGGGGTACTGAGGGGATGCTACCAGGAAAAGCTCACAGAGTAAGCCTTAGACCCCAGTGCCAACATGAGTGTCTCCCCTTCTCTGCTAGGTGTACCGTGCAACTCCAGGTCTTGTCATTTTATTCACTGAGCAGCTCTCTTTGTCCCACCGTCCCAGCTCAAGCCCAACATCTGCCCTCATATCCCTCACTCTGCAAGATCCACCCGCCCCAGCTCTACTGGGTCGCCCAGCCATAGAGCCTTTTCACCCCTGTTCCCTATGGGCCTAGAAGACTCTTGCTCTCCCTGTCCCCTGACCTTAAAGCTCACCATTCAGAGTCACTACCCCCAGGAAGCTTCCCCTGACCTTGGGTCCCCTTCACTTATCCTTCCCAAGTACTACAGGCATCTTACTAGTTCACTCTTCACCTTTGTGTGCAGCTATCAGATCCAGATTGGGTCTCCCATCAAGCAGGGGCTGAGTTGAGACCCTGGGTCACTACACAGCATGGGACTCAGAAAATGGGTAATAAGCAGGTCCTTAGGCTGTTTGTCCAGAACCCCTGAGGGTTATAGAGCCATTCCTCAAGGCCAAGGGCATGTTCAGGGTGGAGCTGGTAGAACCAGCAGTAGATCCAAGGAGGTTCATGTGGGCAGACCAGTGTGAGGACCTTTTCATTACAGCCCCTTAGGAGTTGCTGCTGAGGAAGGCTGTGCCTCCATACCTACTACCACAGACCTGGTAAGAAAAACCAGTGGGGCTCAGATAATCACAACCCTCCCACGTCTGCACTGCCACAAACACAAAGGCAAGTTTGAAAACCAAGCCCTCATCACAGCACTGAGAGGCTGCAGGAACCACTGCTGGGCCAGCAAACACATTCAACATGAACAGCCGTCAGCAGAGTCCCCCAGATGCCAGTCCAGCTGATGTGCTGATGTGCTGGGGAGTACGAAGACATGCTCCCAAGCATATCAGGGGAGACAGCCAAGGCTTTATGTAACAAGATATTTATATCTGAACAACACTCTCCAAGTGCCAGGAATTCCGAAAGGCTGCTGGAGAAGAGCTGAGGGTCTCTACAGCTACTATAGAGGCAAAATACACAGACCCTACAGCCTGCACTGGGATGAAGGCCACTTCTGCCCCACTTAAGACAAAGCTGGTAGAAGACCAGTTATAGGAGCATGGGGCAGGGGAAGGAATCCTCAGGGAACCCCAGCACCAAGACTACAGTCAGTGTGGTCACCACACTTTTGGTCCAGCCCAAAGGAGAGACTCTCCCTCAGGGGAAAGTCAACAAAAGCCCCACTCCACCACAAATGCCAGGAATACCAAACACTTGGAGCCAGTTACTCCCAAGGGGCTCAGCCTAGCATGCCAGGCTTCTGGAGATGCCCCATTTGCTGTCCTGTCTCACCTACTGGCCTTTGCTCCCAAACACCAGAAACTGCCAGTGAGTGGGCAGCTGGAACCTAAGTAGAGCTGTGAGTACCCACAATCCACTCTGCCCACACAGCTCAGCGTGAGGAGGCCTTCAGCAAACCTGGCCCGACAGGCTGGCTCCAAAGTGAAAAGCTAGGTGTCCAAGTAGAAGGGACCTTTCTGAGATAGGCCATGCCAAGACCAAGCTCCATCTCCACATCCTGCCACAAGCAGTCAGTTCACTTTCAAGCACTGTGGTGTGTAACTGGTGTTACCAATGACACAGTGGGCTCTGGGTTTCCAAAGAGCTTTGCATTCATGCCTGAAAGTGCTCTGATACTAGCAGCAAAGGATGCCATAAATATTCCTCTTTACAAGTACCACATAAATGCCCACCTTGGGATGGTAGCAAAGAGCCAGATAAGTTGGCCAGATCAGGTGTGACGGTGAACCGCACTGAATACTTTCCATCTCAAAACAGCAAATAAAGGGGGCAGCCCTGACCTGTTAGCTGCTTAAAAACCGTCCAGCCAGGTGTTGTGGCACACGACTGTAATCCCAGCAGTCAGGAGGCAGAGGCAGGAAGATCACTGCAAGTTCGAGGCCAGCCTGGACTACAGAGCAAGATCCTGTCTCAAAAACAAAAAACAAAAACGAAACAAGCAAAAAAACCCTCTAAGACAGGACTTGGGGAGTGGCTCAGTGGTAAAGCATGCATGAAGCCCTGGGTTCAATTCCCAGCACTGCATTTTAAAAATAAAAGAAAAAACTAAAACCCTCCAAAACCACACCTTGGGTAGGGTAGAGGTACAGGGATATGTTAGGGACCAGCGGCCAGAGAACTTGGGACTCAAGAGTTCCAACTCAACCTTCTGGAGAAGGACTGGCCAAGTCTCTCATCAGCTAGCCAAGGATTCTGTTTATCCTAGGGACCCAGGAATAAAACACTGTAGTCATTACAGTACAAAGAAACCTGTGTGGGAATAGTGGGCAGAATGCCAGACTGGGAGGGCCTAAGCTGGAGATCCAGATTCACAACCTCCTGGCTACTGGCCATGGGCAAGCCTCATGCTTCTCATTGGTGAAATGGGGAGAAGTCCTGCCTTACTAGCCACACAGGCTTGTCAGAAGATCATGGACCTGCAAGTGCTTATAAACCACAAACACGTTCTGGATGCTGGGATGGAGGCTGCCGCTCAGATGTCTGAACAGTCTTACTGTGGGGTCAGAGTATATGGAGTCAGGGCTATTGGCACTCCCAAGAATCCGCCACCCTGCCGACTCCTTACTGGATTGGGAAGTCAGAAGTGCTTTCTGCAATGACAAGCCAGAGCCAAGAAAGTTCTCGCCTTGGAAGAGAGTTGGCCAGGCTGAGGCAAATGGTGCCAGCTATCTGCTATAGCCCAAAGCCTCAAGCAGGCTTCAACTTCAACCCAGGACAGAAAGTGGCCTCCACAGAGCATGATCCCTGGGTAGCTGGACATACACTGCAATACAGTTAACCAAATTCTCTCAGAAGAGCCCACTAGCTACTTAGGAAGTACCTAGCATACATGGAGAGTCACCAGGGAAGACCCTGGACATCACTGTATCCTTAAAATCTTTCTGGGTTTCATAGGAATCAGGAACAGAAAAGAGATCAGGCATCTGCTACCACAGTGTTGAGATCTCTTCTTGGGGAATTAGCCTCCAAAAGACCCCATGGCACCTGTAGCGGCAGGAGCCTCCTGGATAATGGGTTTCAGCTAAGGAGCTCTCTGAGAAATCCCTAGACCTGAGCAAACCTGGCCAGGTCCCTCCATCAGCAAAGAGGGTGAGAAGTGTCTCTCCTATGTAATAAGCTCTGAACCACTGAGCCCCTGAAGGTGATCCTCAAGGCTGGGAGATGAGTTTGCTCCCCTGTGAATACCCACCAGGTACCTTAACATTGGACAGGGAGCTCAGGAGACTCCAGCTGTGTTTACAGGGTGCACCAAGTTCCCCCAAGACTCCGATCTGCCCTAGAATGAATGGCTAAGAAACAAGGTGCTACAGCCTCACTGAGGAGTTTCATCCCATGAGGTAAGGACAGCAACAAAAGCAGACTGAAAGCTTCAGGAGGGACTGTTGGCCATGTGTATCCAGGCCCACTCAGCACTTAGCTCTGAGCCTCTGGAGCCCTGCCATCCCCAAGCTCCAATGAGGACCAAGGGCCCTCTCCTTAGCACCTACCATCCTCCTTGCCTACTCTGGCCACCTTCTGATTACTCCCTCCATGAAACCCCTCTCTCGCCAGGGATTTAGCTCAGTGGTTCCACTGCCTGCCTCACAGAGGAAGGACCCAAGTTCAATCCCTGGTACCAAAAAAAAGGAAACCCCTCTCTCCTTCCTCCTCTGCCCCCACCCTCTGGAGCCCTCCCATGCTGGAGATGGGACTCAGGCCCTTCACTCTGGCTACTTTGTGGAGCTATTTCTTCTGTGGCCCTTCACTGGTAGGACCCAGGGTATGGCCTCGGCCTTTAGTTCATGCCAAATCCCAGGCCCCAGGCATCCCCTCCTTCCTCACAGTGTTAGCTTCTGCCTCTACCCGAACTCCACAACCCAGCCCCTGGGCCTGACCACACCCCACTGATGCAGGCCTTCACCTTGACACTGGCCATGGACAGCTACCAGGTGGGAACACCAGCCTCCTGTGCAAGTAGACCACTGCTTTTCTCTCAGATAACCCTCATTCCTTCACTCCCGAGTGACAGGCCATTGGACAGGCTGCCAGTCTAGCCTTGTCTTTGAGACCCTGGGCCAGAGAGGGCATTCAAGGCTCTCCCCAGTTAGATACCTGCTGCTGTGTCCCATGAACATCAACCCAAGTTCCTGATCCATCCAGGTTGGGCCTGGACTCTCCTGGGGTCACCTAGAGAACTTCTCCTCTCAGTGCCAAGATTCATATGCTACAAGACACACACCCAGCCCTGACTCCTTTACAGAAAGGAAATAGCCTGCACTCCTGACCACTGTATCACCTCATCACCTTCTCACCCCATCTCTCCTGCCCAGGCTCCCCCTGCTCTGTACCTACCCATGGACAGAGCATTCCCAACCCTGGCCCTTAACTCAGGCCTGGCCTAGAACAGAAGAAAGACCTCTAGGCCTGGAGGTGGGGAGGGCTAGACCCCTCCAAGTGGAGGGCAGACCCTGCTACTGTTCTGGTCTAGAAGACTGAAAGCATCAGTGACAGGCACCAGGGCTCACTGCATAGAAAAGACATGGTTCTTATGGTTGGGCCCTGACACCTAGTGGTGGTGGAGGATACTGCGGGCCTTGACCAACCCGGCTGGCCTCAGCAGACCAGACTGGATACCAGGAACAAGACTCCATCTCCATCATGATCATGATCATGATCATGATCATACCTTATTCCAAATTGTACCAGGTTTTTTGGGGGAGGGGGGTACCAAGAATTGAATCGATCCCAGAGACTTTGGACTGGGATATGTCTAGAGCCCTTTTTAAATGTTCTGAGACAGGGTCTTGGTAAGTTGCCCAGGCTGGGTTCAAACTCACAATCCTGCGTCAGCTTCCCAGAATCCTGGGATTATACGTGTGCACTGCCATGCCCAGCTCCTATCAGTTCTTGATACAAACCAACTCATAAACCCTCCAACACCCATGATACAGGACTTATCAATGTGCCAGAAGCTCCAGGGAGTTAAAGGACCTGTCCAATATCACAAAGCTGAGAATGCAGAAGCTAGCTGGGTTCTACCCTCCACTGTTGTCCCAGGCCAGGATCTTCTACCCTTTCAAGGGAGGTCAGCTCACCTTAGTTATCCCAAGAAGTGCTGTCTTTAAGCATCTGAGACAGAAAGTGCTTGTGAGAGTGCTGGGGGAGCTCTAAAACTTGAGCCCTGAACCTGTATCACTCACCCACCACCACGTTTCCAAAGGCTGTAATTAAATCAGAGGCACAGTCCTGGGCCTGGCTTCCAGGCCTCGCCCTTGATTAAATCAACCTTCTACATGGCTCATGGCTCTACACCCATAGAGGACTCCATGAGACCAGAGGTGCCCAAGGTCCCACCAACACTGACCGCTATGGACATCTCTGCCTTCATGGCCCTGAAGGGCAATCTCCATGATAGGGAGAGAAGAGCAGCACTGGCAGCCACCAAGAACTGGCTCTCAAGGAGAGTCCCAGCCAGACCCCCACTGAGGATCCCCAGCTGCAGTACTCGTGAGACTCTGTCATCTCATAGCTAGCACCAAAGGGCTTGGTAGAAGCCAGGAGGTAGCACACTTCATCTCCTGGCCAGTGCTCCAAGCCAAGACAGGCACATCAGATTCTATTCAATCCTGTCTATCCCAACAGACCAAGACTCAGCACTCTACTGAACCACCACAGCAATGAACCAAACAGCCAGCACCAACACAGTCCAACATGGCTGCCCCTAGGCCCAGCAGGCTGTCCAGCACTCACGCTGATAATGCTGCAACAGCCGGTGAGTCCGTACATCCCACACCTTCACAGTGTTGTCCATGCCGGCAGCAGCAACACATGTACCACTGGGATGGAAGTCCACATAGGTGACAAAGCTGGAAAGACAAGGGATATCAGCTACTACAGGTCTGGTCTGCCTCAGTATAGACCCACAAGTGTCTACTGCTTTCCCATCCCTTTGTATCTGCTCATGTTATTTCCTCAAACCAAAACACCTCTTTTCTGCCATGTTTCAGATAGCCACAGGAGAGCAAAAAGATTTAAGAATGGGCCGGGGATTTAGCTCAGTGGTTCCGCCGCCTGCCTCGCAAGTGCAAGGTCCGGAGTTCAATCCCTGGTACCAAAAAAGAAATAAGAATGGTAGCCAGGGACCAAGTTCCACCATCTTTCTTTCTTTTTTTTTTCCGGGGCGGGTGGTTGTGGTGGTGGTGGTGGTGTGGTACGAGGGATCAAAACTAGGAGCACTGTACCACTGAGCTATATCCCCTTTTTATTTTTGGACAGGGTCTCACTAAGTTGCCCAGGCTGGCCTCCAACTTACAATCCTTCCTCAGCCTCCAAAGTAGCTGGGATTATAGGCATGTACCACTGTGTCTAGCCTATTATTTTTTAAATACAAGTGGAAATAGCCATCTTCAGCTCAAAGGTCAGCTGGGCTACTCTGACGCTCTGGAACTGGAGCTGGTACCCTTGCTAGAGCTGGATCCAGGGTAGGTTTTGCCACAGGAATAGGTAGGAAGGTCTAGCAGGGCCACAAGGCCACCAGCCCACCTATCTCTAAGAGACCAGCCAGGTGCCCTCAATACACCTACACATGATTTCAGGCTCTCTGAAAGAGACCTTGCCAGTGGTTTCCAGCCTAACTAAGAAGGGTAGAACCTGGGGTCCATTAGGTTGAGTCTCTACTCAAACACAGGCTCCTCCCTTCTCAATGATAGGGCCCAATATAAACAGCCACCACCTGATGAGGCTTCCGTTCCACTGCCACAGGTAACATACTAAGAAGCTTTAAAATGCAGTTTGAGGGTCTAAGTTCAAATGCTCACAGATATATTGCAATTCTAAGATCTAGAAAGTGAAGGCAGAAAAGAGAAGTCCAAAGAATCACATCGCTAGAGGTTAAGTTTTCCATGGGATGGGGATGGGACTAACCCTTCTGTGCACAAAAGAAAAGATGCAGAGCCTACACAAAAGGCATCAGCTGAGGAGAAGCAGAGGTGTGGCTGCCACCCCCCAGGGCCAGATCCTGAAGCTCACTGGTCTCTTTGTGTCGGGTCAGAGCTGAGTGCTGCAGCACCCACAGATGAGGGACAGCATTGGGGACTTACCCGCCATGCTCACAGTATGAGTGGACACACTCCCGGCTGGTCTTGTCCCACAGCTTGACGGTCTTGTCATCACTGGCAGACACGATGAGCCGCCCATCAGGGGAGAACCTGAGCCAGAAGGGACAGGGGTCATAGTACTGATGAGCAGTTTTCTACAGTCACTTTTCCTTGCATGCCCACTAACTGATCAGGAAGTATCTGGAGTTACATGTCCTGTCCTGATTCCTGAGTGGACCCTTGAGTTCGCAGGTGGTGTCCCTCTCTGTGAGAGGGATAGGAGCAGTGCCTTCCCCACAGTAAGCATGGAGTAGCACAATACACAAAATAACCCCATAGGCACAAGGCATGTGGCAACATCTGGCTGGTGCTGCCTGCTGACATTCCTAGCATGCAGGTAGTCACAAGGCCCAAAGCAGAACAGTGACCCTTCTCCCAGTCCTCTGAGTCAGCAAAACACAACCTGCAAACAAAAAGGCATGGAGCCTCTGGGGACCCACCACCCAAGACTTGCTGGGGCACAACACTCACTTTGCTGACCCAGTCCCTCACACTCTCAGGACCTTGACCATGAGACCTCTCAGAGCATCAGGGACCTCCCAGGACAGAGGAATGCTGCTGCCCTAGGGAATGAGTAATTGCATGGGGTCCCCAAAAGAAGAAACCTCAACAATCCCAACCTCCGAATCCCACGGTTTTCTAGTGTTTCCTGGCTATCTCTACCCCATCCTCCAGAGCAGACATTCGACAGAAGAAAGCTCTGTTTAAAAAATTCCAATAAGCTAAAAGTAGGCATATCGGTGTTTGCCAATTCTTGGACCCTGATAAGTCCTTCAGGTCACTTGGCTCTACATGTACAAAGCACAGCTCAACAACCAAAGGGGAGCTCGGGAGCAAAATAAAAGTCTGAGGCACCTCAGAGGAAAGTAGGTCAGCCTTGGCACCAGACTCAGGTTCAGAGCCCTTCTCTGCCACTCACCCAACAAGTCTGGGATGAGACACTGCACTGCCCTGAGCCTCAGTTTCCTCATCTGCAGAATGGAAATGACACCACCTGGCTGGCAGAACTGTCATAAGGGACCAGAAGAAACTAGAGCAGTAGCACTGACAGTGTCTTATCATTGATACTGCAACTTCCAAGAAGTGGCCTCAGTTGCCTCAGGTGAGGCTCCCTCAGCACGGGAGTCAGAGGGTCATCATGGCTTGAGAGAGGCTAACTTAAGCTCAGTGAGGCTTTTCAACAAATATAACGCAGGAACTATTACTGTTGCCATTTTCAAAATAAAGAAGCCAAGGCTCAGGAAGATTACAGTGACTAAATAACCTGCCCAAGGTCACAAGCGGGCACCTAACACCCCTCTGTGCCTTGCTCGACCCCAAGTCCAAGTGCCTCCAGATATGACAATGCTCACCTGGCACAGCGGACCCAGTTGATGTGCTGGCTCAATGAGAACAGGAATCTCTGGCGATGTGTTGACCACACCTTGATTGTCTTGTCATCAGAGGCTGTCACAAGGGACTGGCCATCACTGGAGAAGTGGACACTCCTCACTGTGGCTGTGTGTGCACGAAACATAGTGGACTCGCCTTTGCTATGAGGACAGAGAGCCAGAGTCAAGAAACCAGTAATAGTCATGTGAAGGCCCACAAGCTTAACAAATCCTTCCCCAATCTTCAGATACCCCTCCCTAAGTCAGTCCAGGCCTGAGCACCCAGTTCCCAAAAAAGGAGGCCAGAACCTCCCCCAGAAAAGCAGAATCCTGCTTTTCCCACCTCTACCCACATGTGAGCAGCATTCAGGTAGCAGTCCTTTGAGGATCTCTGGGACCAGCCCAGAATTGCTCTCTTGAGACAGCTCTAGCCTCTGATGGCACCTCCTCAGAGGCAGAGTAGAAGTCCCACTCTGGCCAGTCCAGAGGCAGGATACGGACCTGGGTAGAGACGGCTCTAGCACCAGGGTCCCAGACTCTTTCAAGCCCTTCAAAGTCTATAACTCACACGTTGGGTACCCAGATGCGGACAGTCTTGTCACGGGAGCCTGAGGCAAGTAAATGTCCCGAGGGAGAGAAGTTCACACAGGTGACAGCATCCTTGTGGCCTGTGAAGCGGTAGGCACGTGCCTGGGGCTTCATGTGCCAGACCATGAGGCAGGAATCCATGGAGCCACTGGCTGGGGAGAATGGGTGATACTGTGATCTTCACCTCTAGCGGATCTCAAGCCTCCCGAGGATACTGGGGAGGCAAGAGGAGCATCACACCAATCTCTGCATTCCCAGGCATCCACAGAGAAGGTCCCCACAGAGCCACCGCCCACACCTCAGTGACTACTGACCAGAAGGTTGGAGAGCCTACAACCTGGCAATTCTCTAAGCAGCAGACTGACAGAGACCCTCCCATGCCAGCCCTAGGCAGCACCCAGGCTCTGGAAGAACTCATCCCTGAGGAGCCATACATCACTTCACAGGCAGACCCTGAGGGCACAAGAGCAAGTCTTTCTAACACTAGGGAGCCAGCCCAGCCCAAAAGGCCTTTTACCAGTGAGAGGGCTCAACTCAATAAGATTTAAGGAGGTCCCCACAAAACCAAAAATGATCTCAGTTCCCTCTCTGCCTACAGCTTCCAGGAGACCCTGACAATAATATGAAGAGGTGAGTTGAATCTACAGAAACAAGAAAGCTACAGCCAGGCGAGCTGTGTATGAACCCGCAAGTGAGCAAGGAAGGGGGCAACCAGATGCAGCAAAAGGACCACGGTGTGGGGTGTTCCTGGCTCTGCTCAACACCTTTCTCACTGCTAGGCCTCTAAAACAAGGCGCATCATTATGTCATAGGCAATGGAATCCAACACCAAAGGAAAAGAGGCCACTGTTTATAGCCTGTGCCATAGGACAGAACAAAGAAGTGGCTGGGATGTATGCAGGAAAAAGCCCGACCCAGTCTCACTCTCAAAGGCTGTCTAACCCTAGCAAGGTCTCCAACCTCTCTGAACCCCACACTCTGCAAATAAAATGGAGGTCATGAAGCCCAGCCCCAGAGAGTTGGCATGTAGAAGGAGAATGCAGGTCCAGACAAAGCATCCATGTCCTTGCCATGCTCTGCTCCCCATGTCACATCTCTTGGGGAGAAGGTTGGCCTTCTTAGTGCTTAACCTAGTACCTTCTCTTACCCAGCTGCTTTGTATTGAGACTGAAGTCCACACAGGTAACCGCATCTCGGTGGCCCTTAAAATGCCTCTCCAATGAGGGATCCTCCTGTGGGAGAACCAGAGTCAAATGGGTGAACCTGGTCAAGGAAGGAGCTGCCCCTGAGCCAAGTCTTCCTACAACAGCCACTAGGGGTTAAAAATGCTCACAGCATGATTTTCTTTCTTTTTTTTGAGACAGGGTCTCACTATGTAGTTCAGGCTGTCCTTGAACTCACTATGTAGCCCAGGTTGGCCTCAAACTTGCGGCCATCCTCCTGCCTCAGCCTTCCAAGTGCCGGGACTATAAGCATACGCCACCATGCCTGGCCACAGCACGATTTTTTTTAGACAGAAAATCCCAAGGAATCCTCTAAAAGCTATCAGAACTATGTAATTAATTATTTCAGCAAGGAAGTAGGCTACAAAATCAATACACAAGAAAATGTAGTATTTATATACAATGGAGTAATACTCTACCATAAAAATAAACTTGAGTCATTCGTAGGTGAGTGGATGCACCTTGAGACCATAATGTTATGTGAAATGCATCAGACACACAAGCTTAAATATTGCATGGATTCTCTTATATAAGAAATTCAAAATACATATACACTTAATATATGTATTAAAATGAAAGATAAATGGAAGTAGGGAGATCTTTTTCAAATTGATCAGGGAAACAAGAGACAGAGGGAAAGGAGGTGGGAAAAAGAAGAACTGAAGAAAAAAAATGAAAATAGAGCTTTTGCAAATAGGAAGGGTATCGTGAGCTGGAAGGAGCAGTAGAGGCCAAAAAAACCCCACAAAAACAAAACTTAGGGACTGGGGATTTAGCTCAGTGGTTCCAGCGCCTGCCTTGCAAGCGCAAGGTCCTGAGTTTGATCACTGGTACCAAAAAAAAAAAAAAAACTTAAAATGTGTTATGTTCATGTACCAACTCATCACAATGAATGCAATCATTAATCATTATGTACTATAAACATTTGCTAATAAATAATAAAAATTTAAAAATCAATACACAGGGCCAGGGATTCAGCTCAGTGGCGCCATGCCTGCCTTGCAAGTGCAAGGTCCTGAGTTCAATCCCTGGTACCATAAAAAAAAAAAAAAACAATACACTAAGAAATCAACTGTACTGGCTGGGGATTTAGCTCAGTGGTTCTGCCGCCTGCCTTGCAAGCTAAGGACATGAGTTTGATCCCCAGTAGCAAGAAAAAAAAAAAAAAAGAAAGAAATCAACTGTATTTCTGTATAGTCACAATGAATAACCTGAAAAACAATGGCAACAACTCCATTTAACCATTTTTTTTTCGGTACTGGGGACTGAACTCGGCCCTTTCACTTGCCAGGCAAGCACGGCACCACTGAGCTACATCCCCAGCCCCAACTCCATTTATAATAAATAAAAATAAAATACTTAGGAATATTTAACAAAAGAAGCACAAGACTTGTACAACAAAACTACAGCACTAAACTTCATTGAAAGAAATTAAACAGAACTTTAAAAATAGATAACTCACGCTATGGATTGGAAGATAATATTATTAAGATACAATAATTTTCAAAATCAATCCACAGATTCAACATAATTCCTATCAAAATCCCATGGGTCATTTCTGTAGAAACTGACAAGCTGATCCTGTCATGGCACACACCTGTAATCCCAGCACTCAGGAGGCTGAAGCAGGAGGACTGCTGTGTGAGGCCAGCCTGAACTGCACAGTGAGTTCAAGGCCAGCCTAGACTACAAAGCAAGACTCTGTCTCAAAAAAAAAGAAAGAACGAAAGAAAGAAGGCAAACAAGCACACACCTCCCATTTTGGGGGGGGGGTTGTTTTTTGTGACAGGGTCTCCCTATGTAGTTCATGCTGGCCTTGAATTCACTACGTAGCCCAGGCTGACTTCAAACTCAGCAATACTCTGGCCTCAGCCTCAGCAGAGAGCTGGAATTACAGGTCTGCACCACTACACCCATTCCCCAAATAATTAAAGAGAACAACTACAACAAAATAGCCCCTGTGTTAAACAGCTCCACAGCTCCTCAAAAACAGTTAGCTAACGACCCATCAATTCTGGGTAAATAACTAAAACAACTGGAAATACATTCACATAAAAAGTACACTAATGTTCACAGAAGCAGTGTTCACACTAGCCAAACAATGAATAAACTCAAGTGTCCGTCAACAGGTGGATAAACCAAATATGGTACAACCATACAACAAAATATTATTCAGTCATGAAAAAGAATGAAGTGCTAATATATGCTACAACATAATAAGCCTTGAAAACATTGTTAAGTGAAACCCAGTGGACTATTTTGAAAGTCCAAACTAATTAAATCTGTTGAGACAAAAAACTAGATGAGTAGTTGTCAGAAGCTAGAGAGAGGGGGAAGGGGAAAGAAAGAGAATGACTATTATTGAGTATGAGGTTTCTCACTGGCATGATGAAAATATTCTGAAATTAGATAGTGGTGATGATTGTGCAACACCACAAATGTACTAAAACCACTGAACTGTACACTTTAAAAGGTGAACTTGCCAGGCATGGTGAGGCATACCCACATGATCCTAGCAGTTGGAAGCCTGAGAGAAGGATCGAGGAGAGTTCAAGGCCAGCCTGGGCTACACAGTGAGTTCAAAGCCAGCCTGAACATCAAGCATGAAATGTATAGTATGTATGTATGTATGTATGTATGTATTTATTTATTGGTACTAGGGATCGAACCTGGGAGCTTGTGCTTTCAAGGCAGGCAGTGGAACCACTGAGCTAAATCCCTGGCCCTAAAGTATTCATTTAAAAAGAAAACTTCTAAATTGGTAATTGAATTATCTCCCTGTATCTTTATAGTTTGTGACATTTCTTGACCTTGCTAGTTCTTTCATTAGACCTGTGAAAGATTTGGTCATCTGGTTAAGGATTTTAAGCAGATGCAACTATGAACCGAAGAAACTGTATTACTATTATTGTTGGTCATACTAAAATTATTTCTTTCCTTAAGTATATGACCCACAACGATGTGAAATAACAAGAAACTGTTTTTGTACACTGTACACCCTTAGTATTTTTACACATATATGATTGGGATGTGCATTATTTTCCTTCACACAGACAGCTTAAATAAAGCACTGTCAATCTGCTACTTCAAATAAATGAATAAAAAGCCAGCCTGAACTACATGGCCAAACCTTGTCTCAAAAAACAAACAACAAAGGTGAACTTCATGGTACAGAGTATCTCAATAAAATTATTTGTTAAAAAACCCAAACAGGAAGAAAAGAACAAAATTAGGGGCCTTTCAACACCTTTCATCAAAGGAATCAGATCTTGCACCTTTGATCCTTCCTTGGACTAGTGAACCCAAGGGTCTGTCCTAGCAGCTCCCTGGTGTCATCATCACCATCTCCACTCTATCCAACATCAGAGGTATGGGCTTTTAGGCCACTATCTGAGACACTCTCCATCCAACAGCAGCTTGTATCTTGGCACTTACAGGATTACACCACATCCATCCAAATACAATGTAACTCCCTCCTCCTCAAAGGTAAGAAACCTCCAAGAAACATTTTGGGTGCTCCAGGGAGCCCAAAAAGACTCTTGGGAAAGGACGTCCCTGGGTCAGAGCAGGCCACTACCACCCCATAGTACTGTGACCTAACCTGTGCTCAGCTCCACCCCCAACCATCTGCCCGTGTTCCTCTTTCAATAGGGGGAATGGCAGGTGGTGGGAGGGTCTCCAACAGAGCAGCAAGCATCGCATTCAGCCTCTGGTCCTCATCTGAGCCTTTTCGAAAAACAAGGCTCAGACAGTGTCTACCTCTAGGCTCGGTGAGCAGAAGCAAGTTCCGGTCCACTCGATAGTGGGTCCCTTGAAATTTCCCGACGTGTAGTTAGTTCCTGCTTGTAGGGCTCAACTCCCCGGTTTGTACTGGGGATGGGGGTTGGGAGGAAAGCACCAGGTTAGAAGTCAAACGTCAAGGTTCTAATCTGGGCCCTCTGCCCAAGTCCTTAGACGCCTCAGGAAGCCGCAGACTACGACCCTACAAGAGAGCCAGGCCTGTGGACAGCAGTTTCTCCAAAGGACTCCACTGAGTGTTCCTCTCTGGCATTTGCAGGAACCTGGGACACAGGAGAGGAGTCCAGGTCCTGGTCACATTGAAGGCATGGGCCGCCCCAGGCTTCCCTGTGCCCGGCCGTTCTCATCTCTCGGAAAAGGGCGTAGCTCAGCAAGACCCCATCCAGCTACCCACTGCTCAGGATGGGGAGACAAGGTTGACCCTAATGCCAAACCACCTGAATGGTGCTGTGCTCGTGTCTTCCTCTCTAATACATAAAGCCCGGCGGCAGGGTCTTGTTGGCTTACCCCAGTACCCAGGCACGGGACCAGGCGCGCGGGGGGGCGCTCGGAAAGCGCCCGGACTCAGCCCGCCGCACAGAACGCACCCTAGCGTGGAGTGGACTGCCTCGTCCTCTCGAATTCACCGCTCCGGTCGGCCAAGCGCCCAACGTCCCAGAGGGCAGACAGGGGCCCAGGCGGCCACCCCTAAAAGAACTCACCAGGCAGGCCGCGGCCATGGCGGCGCCAGAGAAGCCCTAGGTAGCTGCGGCGGCCGTTGCTCCGGTTCGGTTTCCGCGCCCCCAACCGCCGCCAATAGCAACGCAGGACGCGTCGCTGCGCCCCGCCCACCGCAGTTAAAGGAGAAATGCTTCAGCTTTCTACACGCCGACGGGAAGCAGAGCTGTTCGGACAACGCCGCGGCCTCCGCGCCCAGCTCCGCCAAGCCAAGCAACCTACAGACCGCGGTGCTAAGAGCCTCTGTCCACTGTTACTCATTCCTCTTGAGAATTTTAAAAGCCCAGACGTGGGCTTCGCCCCACCGTCCCGTCGCCCAGCTACGTCAAGGGAAGCGCAGCCTTTTGGGAAATGCAGTGCCGTGCCGCCCATACCTTAGCGTTCAGAGGACAAGAAAACTACACTTCCCGAGATTCTGAGGGGCGGCTGCGCTTTATCACCTGGAGCGACGGCCTTAAGGGTGCCGGAGAAGGACAAGTGAGTCGTCTTAACTCGCGCAAGACATGGTTGAGTTAATTTACCCCTGGAACTCGAACGCGCTTAAGACAAGTGTGGATTCACAAAAACGTGGATCAGTCGGAATCACAACTCTAAAGACACCTTGATTTGACTCTGAGGTTCTCTCCTGATTCGGTGTGTGCTCTCAAGAAAAAATGCCTGTGTTCTCGAGACCAGCTTTCCCGTTTGTGTTAGGCGGGAGTGGGAAGTAGTCGACCTTCGCTCGAGTAGCTGTTGGAAGAGGCAGTACTTCGGCCTGGCCAGTAGAAACCGGCCCTACTCCCATTTTGAGGTCTGAAGGCCCAGACTGTCCTTAGACCTTTCCTCTACCAGGCCTCCCAGCGGGGGCATCTGACCCTGAACGGAGTTTGTTTCGCAAGATTCAAGAACTTGCCATCGCCTCTCTTGTACAGACCAACTTGTCCAGACTCCAACACTGATTAGGACTCGTCCACACTCTGAGGCTTTTTACCACACACCAAGACCTTAGAGTCTGTCCCTGGATTTGCAAACCCTAGGTAGGTTCAGTAAACTCAGAAACTGGCATAGGGCAGGAGCGCCTCTGATTTAGACCTAAAAGTCTGAGGCCAGACGTGAGAAACAGTCACACATTTAATCCCGTCTTTCCCGTGATGTCGCATAGGACTGATTCCTTTACCTTAGAAATGTTTGGGCTAATTTAAATTAGGCACTATGAAATCCTTAAAACAAATATAGTTGCTCTTCACATGCGCCCACACCCTGAAATGTTCAACACTGTTCAAAGGATAATTTTCTATTCTCCCCACCAACATTCCTATCATATTCATTTCTCTTGTCTGCCAGCCAAACATTTAGGGGCGTGGGGAGGAGTTACAAAAGAAAAAAATATAGAAAAATATATCAATATTATCAATATATCAATTATATTGATAAAATATATCAATTGTCAGGTTGTATTTTTAGTTTTGGGGTTTTATTTTTGTCAATTATAACTATGGAGTATTTTGGATCTATAGGAGCTTGTACTTTAGAAAACTGAATTCAGGGAAGCTTCTGTAAAATGGTTTTCAAACAGTGCATGCCTATAATCCCAGCACTGGGGAGGCTGAGGCAAGAAGATCACCGAATGTTCAAGGCCAGCTTGGGCTACATAGTTCAAGGCCAGTCTGACCCTGTCTCAGCCCCCCCCCCAAAAAAACCCCCACAAATAAATAAAATGGTTTTTAAATGTCAGGTTTGCTCAAAGTGAGAGTCCCTGGATGATTTTACTCACCCTCCCAATCTTCCCAGGTTACTGTCTTCTATATCCTTACCCATCAGGGAGGAGGAGCTGGGGACACTACACCTGACTTGTGCTACCTCCATTAGATTGGACTCCAGTTCTGATTGAGGGCTCCGAATTGTGCCAGAGCTCAGTTTTGGGGTGAACTCTATGTTAAGGGTGGCTGCGGGGGAGCATCTTTTTCCTGTGCTCCTGTAGTGGGTAGGTCTCTGTCCAAGCACAAAGCCCACAGGAAGGTCCCTATAGCAGAGCCTCTCATCCTGGAATCACTCTCCACCCCTCTACCCGAGGGCCAAAGCCATCCCAGCTCAGTACAGGGAAAGGATGAAAGGCTGGACACTCCCCACTGAGCCCAGCCCAGCCTGCACCTGGAAAGCCCCATATACTATCAGTTTGCCCTGCACCTGCAGATGGCTGCCGTTGAAACTTTGAACAGGAGAGCTCAGGGCTTTTCCCAGGGTAGGGCAGGTCTGGAGATGAGTACAGGCCCTGTTGCCTCTAAGCTGGGTGAGCTAGCAGGAGTCATACCACCTCTCCCAGCCTGCGTGGTCACAACTGTAAAACAATCATATTACACTGTCATGGTAAGGGAGGGAAATTCCATGAGCTATTAATTCATGCCCGAACTTGACATTAAGTTGTCAGTTAATATGAAGTGTGTGACGTCATGCTTCCTCTGCTCCATTGATGTGGCTGACACCTCTTTGTCTCTACTGAGACCACTCTTCCTTGGCTCTCTCTGCTTCAGCCACATTGACCTTCTCACTATTCTTAAACAAGAATGTACCAGCCAGAAAGCCAGGCATGGTGCTGCATGCCTATAATCCCAGCTCGTGGGAGGCTGAGGCAGGAGGATCACCATGAGTTTGAGGCCAGACTGGGTTACCTAGTGAGTTCAAGGCCAGCCTACATAGCAAGACCCTGACTCAAATGGGAACGTACCAGCCACACCTCCATCTCAGTCCTCTTACACTGACTCCTGTACCAGTGCCCTTAACTTCTATCAGGACCTTGTTCAAATGTTATCTCAGTGTAGCCTTCTCTGACCATCCTACTTAAAATGCCAACCCACCCCACTCCTTTCTCTGCTTTATTTTCCTCCAGTAATTTATAACTATGTAACACTCTGGACTTGTTTCATTGTCTTCTTCCCATGAGAATATTGGCTCCAGGGGACAGATATGACCAGGACTCAGAAGAGGAAGGGTGGCCCAGGTGTAAGCAACTGACTCAGCAAAGATCTGGTAACAGGACTGAACAGGGGTGTGGTGAGCAAGGACAAAGCAGGTAGGGTCAGGAATGAGGCAGATTGTAAGGGTACCCAGTGTAGACAAGATGACTAGGGATTAGTCTTAGAGGACCAGGGAGCCACAAGTCCCCTTCTAGGGTTGAAAGCCAAAAGGGAGGCTTTGTACAGATGAGTCTGTGGCTCCAAGCCCACCTGTTGTGACAGTGACCCTGCTAGGTGCCCTCCCCAGGAAGTCCCACAGCAATTCTGGACCTCAGTGGTACCATCTGTGGAGCTGACATACCAGCTTTCTCTAAAGGCAGGCCATCCTTCCAGACTGAGGACAGATCCAATGGGGCCATCAACCTTCAGCATCCCCAACCCTCCTCCATCCGGTGGCCGTGGCCACTCTAGTAAAAAGTCTTCTCTGGTAGGGATATTAGAGTCCCTCTGGATGAGGATCCATCTTTGGTCTGTCCTTCTACGTTTCAGGCAGTGGGTGGCATGACTGGAACTGCTATGGGATACTGGAAATAGTGGTGTCAATAAACCAGGGGTCACTTGGGAGCAGTTTCCAGGAAGTGTGTGGACACAGAGCCGGCCAGTGGCTGCACTCCTCACTATACACTCAGGTGAGTGCAAAAGCATCTGTGTGCCAAGTCCTCCTATCCACATCTCATGAACCCAACCCCTCTCCTCCCTTCCCTCCCCTCCATGAATCCCATCAGAGAGGCCAGGCCTCTTTCACAATACCCAGGGAGAGGGGAAAGGGCCAGGGCAGCCCAGCTGGGATAAAAGAACAAATCCCACAAAACCAAAGCCCCCTGCCCTGGCCCTGCATATATGGGCTGAGAGCAGGGTAGGAACACTCACACAAGGTTTGGACCCAAAGTTGAGAATTTTTCCAGTAAATAAAGTAAGTGGAGCTTTGGAACTGTGGGATCTTAGTCCTGGCTGCTGTTTAACACCTCCACAAGGGAAGGAAGCCCGGAGGTCGGTTTTTAAAAGCTCTCTGGGTGAGAACAGTGGTTAGTCAAGACTGCGAGTCATTGCTCTAGACCAGCGTTGATGGAAAGAACTTTTTGGGATGATGAAAATACTCATCTACATTGCCCAACATGGTAGCCACTGCTCACATTTGATTATGCACATTTGGAGTGTGGTTAGTGTGGCTGAGGAACTGACTTTTTATTTCATCTTAATTCATTTAACTCAGTAAATGTCAATAACTATGTACAGCCAATGGCTACTATGTTGGTCAGCACAGCTCCAGGCTGTGGTCTGGCTCTGTGGCTTCAGGCAAGACACTGAACCTCTTGGATTCAGGGAGCCATGGGGGGGCATGGTGCCCAGTCCACTTGTAGCTGTGGCAACTTTTTACCCCTGTGCCTTGCTACCCAGCTGAGGAGGGGGGGGAAATATTAGCCTAACCCTAGGGACTTGGGACAAGACAGATGTTGGCCACAGGTCCTTGTCCAAGCATTTGGGGAGGGAAGATAGGGCCAGATGCTCCGGAGGGTAGAGGATTATGGAACATTTCCCTTCTCCACAGAGCCTTGAATTGTAATGCACAGAACCAGCCTGGAAGCAGGCTGTCAGCAGTAAAGGAACAACTCTAATTTACTAGAGTCGCTGTACACCAAGTGTGGTGGATTGACTAATGGTCAATTTTTTACGCCCAGCTGAACTGAATCAGCATGGTCTGGGTGTGAAAGATCAACCTGAACATTGTTACCAATAGCCATAAAAAGAGAACTGGAGGGGAAGATCTTGGCCTGTTGATTTTCTAGGAGAAGCTTAACTGTGGAAGGTTTTCCTGATGAAAACTAGGATGTTCTCATTGGAGGAGCTCGGGGCCTCGCTGTTGCTGGGAATGGCTGCTGTTTTCATCAGGGGAGCTCTGGTCTTCACCATGAGCATCACTTCCTGTCTCCAATGTGGATCCCTCAGCTTGGTGGCACACACCCTTCATCTCACCAGCATAGATTTCTGGCTTCCACCACTGGCCTTTGGGCCTTCCAGGTGCAAATCCTCAATTTGGACAAGCATGAAACATTGCTGTGGTCTCTAGGCCACAGGCTGGGCTCGAGGAGGACATTGCCTTGGACTCTAGGCCTTTAGCTGGACTTGTGTGGGAAACTGCTGGGATCTAGGCCCTCAGTTGAATCCTTTGGGCTTCTAGTGTGTGGTTAATTTCTTTCACTCCTTTGGATTTGACTCTTTGGGTAATTATCATAAAATAACCTTGTAAGTTAGATGTCCTGTATTTCATGTATTCCATTGCTGAATCCTTCTGACTACAACACCAAGGCACATGGAGTCTTAACCACTCCAGGAGCAGTGAGGTATTATGCCCATTTTACTGATGAAGAAACTGAGGTACAGAGCTAGTGAGGTGGCAGGATTAGAACTCATCTCTCTGCAAACCCGAACCTATAATCCTAATGCATCCAGGGAGACAAACTAAGAAGCCTGAACTAGTTCAGGCCCCAGTGGAAGTTAAGAAGGCTTCAAGGCTTGCCCTCCACAGCAGAGAGGGAAGCCAATTCTGGAAGAAAGCAGCTAACCACACACTACAATGTCCTCTGTCATCTTGTGTTTTATCATAAACTGTCAAATTTATTGTCTACTCCACAGTACAGCAGTCTCTTTTAATATCAAAATGACATTTTAATGATGGGCTAGCTAACTCAAGTTGGGCTGATACCCAGGAAGATGTCCCAGTTTGTACTCGGGTGGTAGCATATCTTCCTTACCACCATTCATCAATTGAGAAATAGAGCCATAAAGGGATCACTCTGTTGGACTTTAAGTGGGGCCAGTCTGCCAGGCCCAGGCCCACAGGGGGCCTAAGGTTTAGGGTTTCTAGAATCTATGGAGGAACTGGTTTAAAATGTTAATTCTTGGGCTGCTATAGAGTCTGATTCTATGGGTCGGGGTTGGGGACAGCTAGGAACCTGCATTTTTATGGAGCCCCTGTTGAAATTCTGATGTGATAGTCCTGGGACCCCAGTAAGAAAGGACAGCCCACGCTTGTCAGGGAGAAAAGGGAGTCTGACCTGGCTATGATGGTCTGCCCAGGAACGTAAGGCTACACAAGTCCCAGCTCTGATCTCATCTCAGGCCTCAGTTCCCCACCTTTAAAATAAGGGCACCCAGCTTCCTAGAATGACACTGATGAAATAATGGAGTGTTTTAAGGCAGAAACCAAAAGGCTCTGAGTCAGGAAGAAACTGGAATCAGGCTTGTCCTCCCCAACCCACTCTCACTTGTCCCTGGCCTCCCCTGGAGGTGACCCCTCTGGGCAACTGTAGGGAAGGAGGATCAGCTTGGAGTTCTCGGACTGCCAGGTGTACAGGAGGTGTTTCTGGTCTCAAAAGACAGATATAGTTGGGGTACTTCTTGGAAGAAAGCATATCAAGGGCTCCTTTGTCTCCCCTTCCTCATAATGCCACACTGACCTCCTCAATGCCCCTCCCATGAGTCAAGCTGAAGCTCACCTGAGGCCTTTGTTCTGACTGTCCCCTCTGCCTGGCTTGCTCACCCCCAGATGGTGCACTGCAGGTTTGTGATCTCTTTATCTTCCATCTGAACACCACCTCAGAGCCATCTCTGATCCCTGCCCAGCACTCTCACAAGCCTCCTTGTTTATATGGTATTAGGTTTATCCTCTGTCCCTCCCTATGACTATAAACTCAGTAAGGACAAAGACCATGTCCCGATAGCCACTTGCAGATGTTAGGCACATCTACCTGGCCAGACTTATCTGACAAATCAATCTCTAGAATCAATGGGCCCGAGGAGCACCAGGAAAGCCCTCCTACCATCCACAGCAATGCTTAGACTCAGGGAGGGCTAATTCCATGGGTGTATGTGGGATGCAGTTGTGTCCCCACCCCTGTTCTGGAAGTCACACACTTATAGAGTGGCAGGTGCATACCAGCCCGAGTGCCAGGCTCAGCTGATGACTAACATCGAGTGTCTGCTCCAGGGAAGGCAGACTGGGAAAGGGCGACCAGGCAGGTTAGGGTTGGTGAGTGCCCTCACAGGGTTCAAGCTCAGCATGGCAAAGGAGAGGACTTTCTTGCTAGGAGGAATGTTGCAGCAGAGCAGAGCAGCTCAGTGCTATAGCCAAGTGTTACAGCTCAGTATTGGAGCCAAGTGCCACAACTCTGAGGCACAACTGAGCTTTACAGCTCAGTGTGGCAGCTCTGGGTCACAGCTCTCATAATTTGAGGACTCAAGAATCTGATGGTCAGTAGAAGAGGAGGAGAAAAAAAACCTTTATTACACCAGTGCGCCCTAAGTTTGAGCATACTACTAGAAATGAGAGCCTCCTTATATAGGGATCTACAGGGTAGGTGAGCAAGCTCACTAAAGCAGGGGGGCAGAGTTACAGAACATTCTTGAGAGGGGGCGGAGCTTAACAGAACATTCCTGAAAGGTCACACAATTCAAACTGTCACAAACGATTTTGATACATTGGGTTGAGGGCAGCCCAGAGCAAACTGAGCAGTTACAGAACATTCCTGAGAGGGGGTGGAGCTTAACAGAACCTTCTTGTGAGGGGGAAAGAGTTTAACAGAACATTCTTGAAAGGTCATACAGTTCAAACAGCCACAAAGCATTTTGATACACTGGGCAGGAGCCCAGCCCAGCGGCACAAACTTACATTTCCAAAACAAAACATTCTGTGGGAAAAAAAAGAGGCAAGACAAGGGCCGGTCTTATTGTATAGCACTTCTCTATCAGAAACAGCTCCTGTGGGGAGGGGGAGCATCTAGGGATGTTGTTGAAGGACAGATTGGTATTTCTTCCACAGCAACATTTGTACCTGGATCCTAGAAGGGAAGAATGTGGGATGGAAGAAACACATAGTTTCTCCAAGCTGAGGTAGGCAATAACTGGTATGGTCTCAGCTCAAGAATTGTGTCCTCTCAGCCCACCTGCAAATGCAGGGGACAGTAATATTGATTATGCCCAAAGCAGGCTATGAAGAGTTAACCCCAGGATTGCCGATTGACAAATCTCTCCCGACAGTGAGTCATTTCTGCTTCCCAGGAAGATTCAACCCTAACAAGTCACTCACATGCTCAGGGCCACACAGCCACCTTAGGCAGATAAAACCACCTCCTATACATCTGGGTTGAGCTCTAGAGAGAAGGGGGCTTGTCCTCTGGTCCTGGAGGAGAGAGGAGTCTTGCTTAGCTGTGGGTGATTATGCTTGTCAGACTCCTTAGGGCTTACCGGGGATTTAGCTCAGTGGTTTCGCCGCCTGCTGCGCAAGCGCAAGGACCCAAGTTCGATCCCTGGTACCAAAAAAAAAAAAGAAGACTCCTTAGGGCTTGCCATGTGCTTCCTCACTCAGAGCCCATCTGTGACTCCCCATGCCCTCAGTGTTAGGCCAAATTCCCCACTGACTATCTGCTCTGCTTCTCCACTCTCACCTTGTGTCCCACCCCACTAGGACCAGTCACAGTCCATACCGTCTCACCTCTGTACCTCATCTGCAATGCTACCTCCACCTGGGAGGCTCCTGTGTCAAACATCTCAGAAGAAATCCTGCTGCCTTTGGTTCAGATGTCCCCACCCCCATGGCTGTCTCCCCTATGGACCCACCAAGCTCGGGCTGCTCAGACTCCCTCAGGCCAGATCCTCCTTTCCAGCTACAGGAGCCTGATCTTATTCTAGCTGAGGATCCATGTGTTCCTGGAGGGAGGGTTCTGTCACTTCCTTCTGGTCCTGTCTTCACCATATGAAATGGGTAAAAGTGTGTGGACAGGTGTGTGTACATGTATTGGCGTATGTGGCCAAGACTGCACCCATATATCTGTCTGTGTGTGCATGCACACATTTGTGTGTCCATGACTTTGTTTCAGGATGTGTGTGTGTGGTTGTGTCTTTGTGTGCATTTGGGGGGTCTCTGTGGTCATGGCTGTGTCTAAGCACCTGTGGGCGGTTGTACTTGTCTGCGTAAGTGAGTGTAGCCCGGTGAGACTGTGTATCTGTGCCTGTGTATCTTAGATGAGGTTCCTCTCGAAGCCAAACTAGAGAAATGACTGAAGAAACCTTTGTTTATTTGGGATGTGATTCTAGGAAACACTAGGAAAGTGAAACGGGCTGGTGTGTGGGGGGAGATCAGCAGTAATGGGTATGTTCTTAAGCAAGTTACCACAGTGGGTAGTCAGGCCCAGTCCCACCAGAGAGATCTGGGGCATGCCACAGAACATGTCCAGGGCCATCCTGCCTGAGGAGTGAAGGAGTTGGGCTTATCCACCCATTCACAGAAGGTATGGTTGCCCAATGCATATGGGGCAAGGAAAGGCCTCAGGCACAGGGTCTTCAGTACTGGTAGCTGAAAGTTAGCTTGTGTGCGCAAAAATAGTGAAAGGGGACCAGAGTATCAGCACAAACTGCTACACTGTGCATTCATATTTAAGGGCATATGCCAGTACCCTGTCGTGCCACATGGACACAGGGACTCCAGTGACATTTCTGTGCAGTTCAAGGAAAAGTCAGTACAACAATCAAAGAAGCTCTGGCCTTGGCCTCCCTCCTTTCCATCTCCCTTCCTGACCAGGCTGACTCAGAATCTGCCAGATCACACTTAGTCTGCACATGAGTTGACCAAATTGATTCGGACCCACTTTGGACAGTGGCAGTTCCTGCCCTCAGGCCAAGATGGAGGCTGAAGATCAAAGTACAGTTGCAAGAAGATAAGGAGGGCCCTAGTGTGAAAAAGGCACCAGGACCAGAACCTGGGCCTCCTCTGTCTCAACCTTGCAGCCCACAGGAGCCTAGGCAGTAGCTGAGGAGGCCTAGAATGCCATTTGGGGAGACTACCTTGTAGGCAGTGGGGTTTGTTGAGCTGACAAGGAGCACAGTCCTCACTGTGGATACCTCGGTGAACAGGAAGCCAAACTGTTATGGGCAAAGGGTACTGAAAACCAGTGTCACAAATCCACAAATCCACAAGTCCACAAATCTTTTGCTCGATTCCAGTAGAAATCACAAATAGGCAGAGGGTAGCTCTGTTAATGTTAACAGCCCGAGCTTTGAATGCCAGCAGCTATAGCACTTAGTGTTAGCAGCCGTCATCAATCTATTGACAGCTGCAGCCCTTTGGAACTCTTCTGGTGACTGAAGATGGAGGCTCCCAGCAATTCTCTATCATTCTCCA